TCACTCATCTCCATGGCAACTGACTCCCTAAGGCTCCATGGGTGGAGGGCCCAGCTCCCCAGCTCCCTTGTTATCTTCTCCCTGTGACCTTGCCAGGACCCGTCTCTTGAGCTAACACCACTCCAAACCCTACTGCCCCCAGCAACGCGCAATCAATGTAGGCCAGCATTACCCTCACAAACTGCTCTGAGAGGGAGGCGTTATTATACTCTCATTTTACAGATGAGGAAACCGAGGCTCTTCTAAGTTAAGTGTCTTGCTGAAGGCCCCACGGCTCCAGGATTTGAAACCACAAAGGCCTGGTACCCAGTACTGGTAAGGACTACGTGATTCAGCCTGTCTCTCCTCCCTGAGCTCTGTCCCTGGTCTCCCTTCCTGCCCCCCCCCCCCACTTCTTCCATTGCCTCCCTCAGTGGGGATCACTGGGGGTGGGACAGACAGCAATAAGGCAACGATATTACCACCTTACAAAGTCACACTAAAGCATTTTCTAACAAGCCCACTTAAAGGTCATGTAGAAGAAGGTAATTTGGTTTAACTTTCTATTTGCTACTGATGAGGGCTCAGGTTCTGTGAAATTAGAACCTAACTTGTGGATGTGAGATGGTTAGTTTTTATTTGTAGAAAATATAACCTCAAAGGTTATGGTTTTATTCCCCTATACAGTATTAACTAATTTTGCAATCTTATTCTAGCTTACATAAGAAACTTCTATCAGTTTCTTATCCCCTCCTTTAAACCAGCTCTACCGTCTTGCTGGTTCCCTCAGCAACGAGTTGAATTGTCTTTGACCCCAGCTCACGATACATTTGCATGTGTTGGGTTTTTTAACTGTTTGAAATTGACTCTCTGACATGAGGAGTTAAGGGTTTCCTATTCCAGTTCTGTGTTCCCTGGGAGAGAAGTTCCTAGCACAGGCAGCCTGGCCAAGCCTCCCTCTCTAGGCTTTTACCTTTTCCTCAGTCACCGGGTATCTGAGGCCTCACCTGGTCACAGGGGCAATGTTTAGAGGAAGGCCCTCGGCAGTTAGTGACGAGGGTTCCTAGGGTCCTCCCTGCTCGAGTACAAAGGACCCTCATTCCATTTCCATCTCCAGTTGCTGCTCTGCCTGGGTCTTGTTCCCCAGCCTTAGAACCCCATTGTCCCAGAGTCTGGGCTTCACCACAGCCCGCCCCTCTGCCCCACATCTGCTTGCTGGGCTGCCCAGAATGGAGTTCCTTCTCAGCTGCCCACAAAAACATCTCAAGGCATGGCATGCATTCAGCTAAGGAGAGCCAGTTGGTTCTATGTGAAACTGGGAAGCGGTCTCCTCGCACGCAGGTGACAGCCTTCCCCCAACCCAACCTCTCCCTTACCCATTACAAAGTAAGACAGAGTCATTTAAATCTTTAGTATAGACTAAAGGCCCTGCCAAGGTATGTGCATTTTAAATCCTTTCCGTCTAAATTATAGAAGGGAAGAAAAGCTTTCCATTCTTGTTGAAGGAATTCTGGTCACCAGCAAGAAGCCCAGAAGCGATCTAGATCTGTTCGTTTTGGAGGGCAGAGGGGAGGAAGAGAATGAAAGAGATTAACCATAAACTGGGTTGTTCATTTCGGTTGCCTTAGAAAGTTAGGTTGGCTGACTGTCTATTCATCATGTGCCCAAGTACCTTTCCTAGTCCAAGCCCTTCTCCTCAGGGCCTTCCTAATTTAATTTTTCCACCCAAGTCTCTACCATGAGGCGAAGTCTGTGTAATAGATAGATGTTGGGGATAGCCTGCTCTGCTCCTTTGTAACAACAGACAGCTGATTGGTTGGGGGAAGAGGGATCAGCTTATTGGTTGGGGGAAGACAGATCAGCTGACTGGTTGGGGAAGGAAGTCATGCACCCCCCAAAGGAATTGACACACAAAGCTTCAGTCCCGAGCTTTCTAGGGTTCACGAGTTGTTGGGGAGTAAGATTTGGTACTTCTGTCCTGTGTGTGTTTAATGCGTATATGAGAATGAAGTGCTGTAAGTACTAAACAGGGCCTGGTGCGTATACAGATTTAAAAGAAAAAACAAAACTGGAATTGCAACATGCATAGTATTCAGGGGCCTGCTTTTTTTACTCAAGTTACTCAACCTCTTTTGATCTCAGTAACTCTATTTCTACAATATCATTTTTAATGATTGAATAGCATTCCACCAAACGACTTTGCCACAATATGCTCAACTACGTACAAGATTTAGGTTTTTTGGAATTGGTCGATTATTAGAAAGAGTGCAGCGATGAACATCCTTGTAGATAAATCTTTGCACATCCATAATTATTCATCAGGATGAATTTCTAGGAATGGAATTACTGGGTGAAAAGATATTCTTTGTAATGCTTTAGAGAACACAGCCCCCTTTTCCTGATCAACACTGGTATTTTTGTTCTTTTTTTATCTTTGCCAATTTCACAGGGGAAAAAAGGTGTCTCACTGTTTAGTTTTGCATCTTCTTCATGACGAGCGAGGGTGACTATTTTGGGGGTGTTGCTCAGCTGCTTAGGGTTCGTTTTTATGTGTTTGAGTCATGTCTTTTATTCATATTTCCATTGGTGTGTTTGCCTATTTTTAAATTGACTCAAAAGAACTCTTCATGGGTGTGAATATTAATTTTTATTGCAAATATTTTTCTGTTTGTCATTTACCTTTCACTTATAGTGAGTTTTGCCATATAAAAGCTTTAAATTTTATACTCTCTAATGTGCTGGCCTTTTCTTTTATAATTTTTGCCTTGGGGGTCATGTTTGGTAACTCTTCTCTGCTGTAGGCTCATGTAACCTGTTTTTCTTCTATTACGCTTATGGACTTGTTTTCCACACTTAAACCTTTAATCCATCTGCAAGTTATTTTTATGTTTGGTATAGAACTCAATTTTTTTTTGGAGATAGAATTCTAACTCATTTTTTATGGTCTGTCAATCATCCTGACACCACTTATTAAATGATTGGTTTTTTCCATCACTGATTTAAAAGGATGCCACTTTGTCATATAATAAATTTTTATATATTTAACATTTCTAGCTAGTCTATTTTGTTCCATTAATTTATCTGTTCTTATACCAATAGTGTACTATTTTAATAATGATAGCCTTAGAGTACCTTCAAAGACCCAGTAAGGGACATATCCCATTCTTACTCTTCTTTAAGAATACATAAATAGGGGCTGGCCCCGTGGCATAGCGGGTAAGTGCGCGCGCTTCGCTGCTGGTGGCCTGGGGTTCGGATCCTGGGCGTGCACCGAAGCACTGCTTGTCAGGCCACGCTGTGGCAGCGTCCCACATATAAAGTGGAGGAAGATGGGCACGGATGTTAGCCCAGGGCCAGTCTTCCACAGCAAAAAGAGGAGGATTGGCATGGATGTTAGCTCAGGGCTGATCTCCCTCACAAAAACAAGCAAACAAAAAAGAATACATAAATAGGGGGCCGGCCCAGTGGTGTAGTGGTTAAGTTCACGCGCTCCATCTCGGGAGCCTGGGGTTTGCAGGTTCAGATCCCAGGCGCAGACCCGTGCACTGCTTATCAAGCCATGCTGTGGCAGGCTTCCCACATATAAAGTAGAGGAAGGTGGGCACAGATGTTAGCCTAGGGCCAATCTTCCTCAGCAAAAAGAGGAGGATTGGCAACAGATGTTAGCTCAGGGCTAACATCAGATGTTAGCTCACAAACACACAAAAAAGAATACATAAGAAATGCTACTGTAGAGCATTTATTCTTTCAGATAGACTTTATCTATTTTGTTAAATTTTAAAAGATATTGTGGGTATTTTGATTGCAATTACATTTATTTCCATAACACCTGATGTTACCACAATATTGACTCAATCTAGCAACATGTCTCTTAAATTATTTACCCCTCAGTTAAGTTGTTTTAGGTTATTCACATTTCTTTTATATTTTTAGTTGCCATTGTAAATTGTTTTTCCCATTATGTTTTCTTACTGGTTAGTGTTGTTATATGGGAAAGCTCTTAGCTGCCTGTCTGACTATCTTTCAGGTGATTCTCTTAGTCTTGACAGATAAGCAATTGTTTGATCTCTATGTAATTAAAATGTTATCTTCCCTGAAAGAGGAAATATGCTTTATTATTTTTTTTTGCATAGGCAAAATACTTATAAGCATGAAGAGGAAGATTATTGACTTAAATGGAAATGCCTCTAGTATTTCACTGTGGGCTGTTGCCTTATTAAGCACACTTCCATATATTAATAGTTTCCATATATTAGAGGGGTTTTGAATATCAGGAATGGATGCTGAGTTTTATCAAATGTTTTAGAGGCATCTACTGGGATGTTTATGGGACTTGATTCCTTTAAGCTACTGATGTGATGAATAACTTTAGTATGGGGCCACCTCTCAGTAAATCATACTTAATTATGTTTTCTCTTGCTCTGCAACAGTTTTCTTAGAGCTCGTTTTCATGTCTATTATAGTACCTGCAATTTCTCAAGAACTCCTACTTTCAGAACCCATGAAAACTTAGCACCAGGCCCTGTCCACACTTGTCATGGTGCCCACCAACCTGTCCATTCCCAGCACCAGCCTCCTTCGCCGGCCAGGACCGAATCTATCCACACATGCATTTCCCTATTTGCTCCTGAGGCAAAGAGAAGAAACAAGGGCCTCTGTCAATATTGTGGGGGTTTCTCTGCCTGGCCTAGGCAGCCTCTGAGGCCCCTTGGCTAACCAGAGCACAGGCACAGACCAGGTCGTGGGATCTCCTTGCCTCGAACCTCTGCTCAGCTTCCCCTAAGAATTCCTCCTGGAGTTACCGCCTGTGTTTGCTGCTTTCAGCCATCTGATACTGATGCGCGCATGGTACACACAGCACCACGAAGAGGAGACTCCACGGGTTTGAAGCAGGCCATGGGCAGAGATGAGCTGAAGGATATGAGGTGAGGAGAGTCGTGGCCAAAGAACAGTTTCAGAAGAGCTGGAAACCTCCTGACCGCATGATTCCTGCCCCACATACCTGCCGCCTCAACACTTACCTGGGGCCTTGAGTTCAGCATCGATGAAGGTGAGTAGTTCCTGGCAGATGCTGCAGTAAGGAACAGGCCAGGTCAGGAATCGGTGGTAGGTTCTGGCTGCTTTCAGAAGGAGATCTGAGTCTGGCGGGAAGTGTGGTGTCTGGGATGGAGAGGGAGCGGCAAGCAGAGAGGTCTGGGTGAGAGAAAGCTCACTGATATTCCAGAACAGACCCTGCTCTTTTTCTGGAATGTTCCACAAAGGGCACACGTTTCCTGGCAGCAGTACATCCAAGGACAAGGTCAGGAAGAACTGGAAGTTACCCACAGGGAGTGAGTTACAGATGGGCAAGATGGCGCCCAGGGGTGTCTCTATTGTGAGGGCTTTGTTTTTACCAAACATAGCACTTACCCCATACGTGAGAGTGACTCGCTGAAAAGCTGTCACCTTGGTGGTCACCCAAATGAGTGGCAGCCAGGTGCCACTGCTGCCACTCATTTTGGGGAATGGTCTTTAGTGCCTAAACCACCTTTATTTAAATATCCACACTAGAGGCAAATGTTTGCTCTTTGAAGTGGATTGACTCAATGTACATGGAGTCATTTGGTGCCACCGGTCTGGTGAATACAGGATGAGCACATTGGGTGAAAATGACCCCTGGGGTACAAATTGTGGTGGACATAAAATCTCTCCACAGAATCTGTTTCGTGGCTTGTGACCACGCTGTGACAGCAGTTCCCCTATGGGAGCCCAGATATGCTAGGCAAAATGGTGTCCACGTGGAGTTAGTGGAGGCCCCTCAAGACGGCTGCTCTGAAGCCATCAGAGGGTTGACACGCATTTCAAGCATCAGTGTTTGACAGTTTCTTTCTCTGTGTTAATCTGTAGAGGTGTGAGGGCTACGGCCCCCATGGTGTTTGTTCTTCCCTCCCCTCTTTGCCTGTAGTCCCTCCCCTCTTCCCTCCCCCAGCCTGGCCCACCCTGGAACTTACACAGAGGACAGTGGAGTAGAAGAGCAGGGCCAGGGGGGCGAGGAGGTCATAGGTGCCCTTCTCTAGGACCTGTGGGGAGGACAGGGGAGGAGGGGTGAGGCTCATTCACAGGGTGCAGAACAGAGCAGCACTTTCTTGTTCTATTCTTTCTTTTCTTTCTTTAAGTGAAAAGCAGCGTAACCACAAGACAAAAAATAGAAGTTAAAAAAAAAGAAAGCACTCACAATAACCCCCTTCCAAACTCAGCCACAGCTAGTGTTTCAATGTACTTCTCCTTACACCATTTTCCTGTATATATTCTCCTCTACAGAGTTGTAATCGTAGTGTATATATTTTTAATTTTAATGTCTTTTACATATAATATTATGAATTTCTGTTTTGCTACATGGCCTCTAAGATCAACTTTTTTTCTCTTCTGGTTATACATTTACCTGTTATTTGTGTTGTAAATATTTTTTCCAATTTGTTGTTTGTCTTTTGTGTGTGTGTGTGAGGAAGACTGGCTCTGAGCTAACATCCATTGCCAATCCTCCTCTTTTTGCTGAGGAAGATTAGCCCTGAGCTAACATCTGTGCCCATCTTCCTCTATTTGGTATATGGGATGCCGCCACAGCATGGCTTGATGAGCAGTGTGTAGGTCTGCACCCAAGACCCAAACTCACAAACCCCAGGCCGCCGAAGCGGACCACACAAACTTAGCCACCGTGCCACCAGGCTGGCCCTGTTGTTTGTCTTTTAATTTTATAAAATTTTTTTATGTACAGAAATTACAAGTTTTAATTTTTTCCTTTATGGAGTTTTGCTTTTGCATGCAAGGATCATGTAAATATTCACATATTTTTTCTTTTTTTCTTTCAAGCTTCATTTTCTTAAATTTAAATCTTTAATCCACCTAGAATTCCATCTGCTGTATGGTGTGAATGGGGACTCTCACTCTGTACTTTTCCAAATCTTTAGTCAATTTCCCCTAAAACAATTAATAAATCTTACTGGTCCAATTTTATTATATATTAAGTTTTGTTTATACCTTTGGATAATATCCATCATTTTTATTAGCTGTATAATATTCCTTCCAGTAGATCTCCATAATCTATTAGTTTTGTTTTAGACATTTAAGATTATTTTCTTGCTATTTTAAATACTTTTGCATTGAAAACCTTTGTGCACATTCCTTTTTCTATAATTTGGATTATTTATCTAGGATAGTATTCAAGAAGTGGAATCAATGGATCAAAGACTATAAATATATTTATGATCTTTGAAACATATTGCCAAATTGCTTTCCAAAAGGATTTTGCAATTTATCATATCTTGTATGAAAGTACCAGTTTCACTATAACCCTTCCCTGCATTGGTTATTATAATTTTTTTGCTAATTTGCTAGGCAAAGGCTGTCTCATTATGGTTCCCTTTTGCATTTATTTTATTATAATTGAGGCAACATTTTCCCGTATTTGTTTACAAGTTCTGCTTATTCCTTTTTGAATCATCTCTTTGATAGAGCCCACCCACCACACCACATACACACACGATTTAGAATTCTTTGGTCCAAATGATAAGGGTCTCTTGGCCCATTCTGGAACTCGTCGGGGTTGAAGACACACAGAAAGCCTCACCCTCTCTGCTGTGCCTGGTGACCTCAGCAGGCTCAAATTTAGAATTCTCCTTCTCTTTACCCTGAATAGACCATGTGTCTGATACATCTGCTGCTCAGCCCTTTCTACAGAACCCTCCCCTATTGATACACGGTAGTTGATCCTTTATATTGGAGTTTATAAGTTAAGCACTCCAGAGCTGGTTTGGCTCTTCTGAGTTGGTCTGCTTGTGATCAGGGGACAACAGCACCAGGTAAATGGTGGTGCCAGAACAGGCACCTTGGGGGTCTTGATAAACCAAGACTTGCAAAGGGACAGCTGACTGAAAAAGTCACATGTTTTCCAACTCAGTCATGTATTCAAAACAAAACTTAAAAGAGAATTCTCTACAAAAGAGCCAGAATCCTCTTTAGGGACACACAGCTGTTCTGGAACCCCAGCCCAGCTCAGCATTCAATGCACTCCTTTTCTTAGTCATAAAAATCTACTTATTGAACTGTTAGAGGAGGTCTCAGTATACTTCCCAATCAGTTTTCTCTGTCATGTCTTTGTTTTTATGGATCTTTTTGAGAAAAGGAATTCGGTAGAGCTTCCTCTTTCCTTTCTAGTCAATTCCTTGTCTTACAAGCAATGTCTGTCTTAGGAAGCAGCTTAAACTCAGGACCTTGCTTCATGTGTCTCGTGTTCTCATTGAAAGGACCACACCCCTTCCTAGCAACTTCCATTCACAAGCACCCCTGAAACAGAAAGATTCTAGGTTCCCAGTGCCTTTGCCAAGCCCTTTGGTGGGACAGGCACCCCAAAACTGACCTTCTCTGGGAACCTATCTGTCGACTCTACGAGGCCGATCCCAGCTCTGCCCTTCAACCCCTCACCTCTCGGGTTTTCTGCAGGATCTGTTCGAGGAGGATGAGGAAGTGGCCCGGGTCCCTGCTGACCAGCTCCTGTAGGCTCCAGCAGTTTAGACACAGCCCAGCTGGGAAGGGAGAGAGAGACCAGTCGTCAGTTTGGGGTTGGAGAGACGTGGGAATCCCTGGGACTGTACTGGGGCATCCCTTTCTAAAGTAAGAGTCAGAAAATTCTGGATCAACACTCAACCCTACCATGCCCCATCAAGACACAATGACAACTTTCTTACTCCTGCGTATACAGGAGGCTCAGGGACACCGAGATGGGCTAGGATCCCCCGCCCATCCCAGAGGACAACGAACGGGCCGGGGTTCTGCTCCCCCAGCCTCTGGAGAGCACCTGTGCCCACAGCCTGCCCTGCCCTGCTTTCCTACAGGGGGAGCCAGAACCTCCGAGATGCAGGGAAGGAGGGTGAACGCAGAGATCTCTGCAAGAATCAGGAGAGGAGCCACAGGGCACTCCACCCCAGGACACAAGGCTGAGTCTGCGACAGCCATGGGACTTCCCAGGACACCTGGCAACGGAGCTTGGGAAGGGGAAGCTACATTCATTTATGTTTTGAAAGCTACAATGGGCGCTTCGTCACTCTGCAACTTCCCCAGACTCTCTTATTTTGTCAGTCTCTGTTTCCCTGCAGTCAGCAAGGGTAAACCCCTAAAAATTAAAGGGGTGATGACAGAGGCCTGTGTGTGTGTGTGTGTGTGTGTGTGTGTGTGTGTGGTGTGTGTGTGGCGGGGAGTGAGAACAGCAGGGACGGACGTGGCCTGACCGTGAGTGTCACCGAGTTTAGGCTCCAGGCTCCCTCATGTACTCAGGCTCCTTCCAAGGTCGTGGAGGCCCAAACAGTGTCACGTGGTCACAGGTTTTTGTAAAATTGGCAAAAGTCAGTTATTTTTGTATTCTTTTACTGAATGATGGCCCCTCAATTCTATAAGCTTAGGCTCCATCAAAACCGGGGTAGGAGGCAAGAAAGAAGAAAACCGCCATTTACAGACTGCCTACTGTGCGTCAATAAGGCGCAAGGCCTTTGCATACATTATCTCCATTGGGTCTTTCACCCTCCCTTCAGGAAGCGGTTCCTGTTATTATTCTCATTTCACGGACAAAGCAGGCGAGGTCCTGAGAGGTTAAGTGACTTGCACAAGTTTAGACAGCCAATGAGAGACAGTTTTAATCCAGATCTGTTTAATTCCAAAGGCCAAGGAAAGCCTCTCAGAGGAGGTGACATTTGAGCGTAGACCTGGATGAGAAAGAGCCAGCTATGCGCAGTTCTCAGGGAAGAGTTCCAGGCAGCAAGTGCAAAGGTCCTGAGGTAGGAAGGAACCAGGTATGTTCAAGGAGCAGTGGGTGTCTATCTCATGGGGTAGTTACAGAGGCAAGTGAGATACGGGTGGTGAAAAATCTTTACAAGCATAAGGAATTATTACAACTAGGCACCAGCCTTCAGAGACACAACTGCCTCAGCTTGTGGATACCCCCATTTCTCAGGCCTGGGGAACATGGAACATGGAGGCTTCCTGCTCCCTGAAGCTCTGCTGAGATTCTCCCTTGTTCTACAGGGAAGAGGAGGATGGGGCTGTGGAGGGAACTAGAAACCAAGTAAACAGGAGAATTCTGGGGAGAGCTGTCTATGAATTCACAGCTGCTCTTTCAGAATCAGCAGCTGTGGTTTTTCTAAGCAGGTCAATACCTTCTTCAGGAGCTGTGCTTCTAGCACATGCTAAGGAAGCGAGCTACAGGTCTGAGGAGGATGAGGAAGACAGCACGGGAGACTGGAGAAACTGCCACACACTGAGGGCCTGCCCTCCTTCAGGTGTGCGCCGAGCACCTGCCCAGGTGGGGTCCAGGGCCCTGCTCAGGTCACACAGACAGGGTTGGAGCCAGAATCTGCCAGCTTCCGTGCCTGGTCCAGTGCTCACCGCAGCCCCTGAGGCTTCCTTGGGCCCTAAGGATGCCTCCCCAGCTCCCTGGGACCTACCTGACCAGGAGGTGGTGCAGCGGCTGAGGCTGAGCCCGTGCAAGCAGCGCTCCAGGGCATGCTGGATGCGGTCCTCCGTGCACGTCGTGGCCCCTGGCTGCATCCTGAGTCATCGCCTGCATGGGGGACAGACACTGGTCGGCCTGGAGAGCCCAGGCTCGAGGAGCACATGGGCCAGCAGGGCAGATGGCAGAGACAACGGGCACTCATAGCCCAGTGCCACCAGCCCTGCTATGGCTGCAATGCTGTGGGCGCCACACGAGGGGGCCTCCGGCTGCCTCCAGTGCTGGACTGGCTCATGGAGGTGCTGCCTGAGGGCAGGACTGAGCACCCCTGCAGCCCCACAGCACAGAGCTACAGGAAGCGAGGGGTCAGGGATGGCAGCTGAGAGGCGGACAGGGGCCGGCCTGCCCCACTGGGCAGTGGCCGGGTCTCCAGGAGCCCAGGGAGTGCCCAGACCACAGTGGGCTGGGTAGGAGGATCCCAAGGGAAAGATCAGAATCACGTGGGGGACTTTTTCTGAACTTCCAGGCCTGCATCCCCCATCCCTCAGGGACGGGCAGGGAGCCTGCTCCTGATGAGAAGGCCACAGAGTCTCCCTCAGTGTGCTGGGTGCTCCGACGCTGAGGCCCGGTGGGGGCTGCCTTCACACGTCCCCCACCCCGCCACACCCTCTGCTTGGATGCCCAGGCCACGGGCACCTGTTCCTTTTCTGCCCTCACTTCCACTTTGGCCATTTTTCTTTGCTTTCTCTGAAGCTTGGCAATGTTACGTTATTCAGAGACCTCGCTTGGCCTCTCTCCTTTGTTTTCCTGAGGGGAGAACAGGGGTGCTTAGCTCGGGCAGGGGGGCTGCTGAGGAGGGGATTTAAGAAGGGGTTTTAGCACGAGATGGGGAACTGTGCGAAGTGCGAAATTCTGAGAGCCTCCAGCAGGGCCAACCCAGCTTCTTAGTTATGTGGGAGGGCTCCTGGGTCCCTCGGGAAGCCGTGACAGGTAGTTTAGCACAGTGAATGAGCCTGGCCTCTGGCATCAACAGACTTGGACTCAAATCTCGACTCCGATATTTGCCAGCCGTGCGACTGGGCAAATTCTTCAACTTTCTGAACCTCAGTTTACTTATCTGTAAAATGGAGATGACGATGGTCCTAACCCCACAGGGCTGAGGGAAGGTTAAATGCCAGAGTGGATATGCTGAGCAAGCTTTCAAGACACGAAAGCTATCATGCTACAGTCTTTGCCACGATCAGTCTCTGCCACGATCAGTCTCTGCCTTAGGCATTTCGCTGCGCTCACCCCATCCAGGCAGACTCCGTCGCGGGCCGGGCAGGTCAGGTCACAGAGAGAGGCTGAGGAAGCAGCAGTCCAGCTCTGTGGACCTGGGGACGGACCAGGAAACCACAAGCAGAAGCACGGAGCTCAGAGCTGAGCCATGCAAACGACATGCAAAGAGCTATGAATCCTAACGTGGATCCAGCCGCACGACTGCAGCATTCAGCTCTCGCGGGCCCTGTAGGCAAATCCCCCTACGTCCCCAGACTGGGAGGAACTACGTGTCCCCCGAGGGAAACAAAAGCCCTTTGTGAGCTGTGCAGCATCACTTCATGTCATCCCTGGGATGGGGCAGTGGTGGGCGCACAGGGAGCAGCTTGCAGGCATTCATTCTTTCATGTATTTACTGAGCACCTACTATATGCCAGGCACGGAGGACACGGCAGTGAATGAAGCCGGCATGCTCCTTGGAGGGAGACGTAGACATTAAACAATGTAACAGACAAAGAAAGAGCCATTGCAGGAGGTGACATATGCTGTGAAGAAAGTGATGGTGCTGTGCAGGGGCCGAATGGGGAGTCCACTCCAGATCGCTGGGAGGTCAGGGAAGCCTCTCAGAAAGGGACATTTAAGCTGGATGAGGAAGCCAGGAGAGAAGTGAGGGGGAAGAATGTTCCAGAAAGAGGAGAGAGCATGTGCAAAGTTCTGCACGCAGGAACGAGCCTGCCAAGGACTGAGACCCTGGAGCACAGGGCCAGGGCCCAGGACCGACCAGCCTTCCAGGTCCCACACCTTCCGGCTGCTGAGGTGGTGGACTGAGTTCAGAAAAACTCTCCCTGGTGACTGAGGACCATGGACCTGGGGTGTTCCCATTAGTGCAACTGGATGCCCAAAGACATCCTTGGGTCCTTCCAGGGCCACTTGCCCAGTCGGCTTTGGGCCTTTTGTCTGCTGACTCCTCCAGGGGTAGCCCAGGCGGTGAGTCTGCTGACCCTGAGCCCGACCAGGCAGATGTCAGGTTTCCCGGACCCTCCCTCCCTGGACGTGCCGGAACCTGGCTGTCCTTGGGAATGAGCACTGTGAGGAGGCCTCGCTCTCCTGCCTTCAGTAGCAGCCCAAACACAGGACCCTCTCAAGCTTGGTCCTATTCAGGCTCAGGGCTAACGGTGCCTGCTGGAAGGAGCTAGAAGACCAGGCGCCTTCAAAACCATGAGTTGGGCGCATGAGCGGCTGGCCTCTGTCCCCACAGGCTGATTTTTCTACTATTAGCCTCAGGGGAGGTGCTTGGAGGGAGCTCAGAGGTTGGCCCCCCACCAGTCCTTCATTTTACAGGAGGAGAACTGAGACCCAGAGAGGATAAGGGGCAGCCTGGGGGTAGGGGCCAAGCTGGGAGAATCGACACTGGTATAAACAGACCAGAGTATCGGGTAGGACTTCTATTTTCCCAAATTAGCTGAGGCCCGAATCTCAGCACAAAAGGTTCTCAATGACATACAAGCTAAAGTTCTAAGAGTCTCAGTGAGCTGTCAGGGATGGGGGCAGGCAACCATGCTGGGGGCTCGCTGGGAGGTATTGGTACAGACCTGGCACAGCTCCAACCTCCCTGGCAATACAAGAAGACTGGGAAGAGGTCAGGCGTTCCTGGGGGCTTTCCTTCCTCTCCCCAAAGCCAAGGGCAGAGGGGCTTGCAGCGACTCCCTTATTCAGCCCAGATGCCTGCCAGGTGGGGATGCTGCCATTTGGTTTTCAGTTCACTCCATTCAGCCAGCAGAGTTGCTCTGTGCCACCTGTGAGCCATGGGAGGGCTAAGAGGAGGAGCAGGAGGGGCAGCTTGCAGGCCTACTGTTGGGGAAGGCAAAGGTGTGAGCTCCTTGTGTGTATGTGTGGGGTGGATACTAGGAATAAAAGCTGGACTTGAGCTGTTTTGTTGATACTGGAGGGCCCCCAGAAGGGAGAGGGAAACAGCAATAAGAGGCTGAGGATTGGACCACCTTTGGGGGAAGCTGGAGGGAGCAGGATGAAGAGATGGACAATCCGTGGCACAGAGAAGTTAAACAACTTGCCTAAGGTCACACAGCTAGGAGGTGGCAAAGCCAGGCTATGAACCCAGGGAGTCTGGCTCTTGACCAGTACAGGGCACTGCCCCTCGGCACGGTCAGATGCAGTCACTGGAGGAAAGGTAAAACCAATTCATGTTTCTACCCCAACAAGCGACACTCAATTAACTGTAACATGATCTTGCTCTAAGAGACCTAGACTCCCAGTTGCTGGGAATCTCGAGCCCACCATCTGTCTACACCAGCTGCCCACTACAGCCCTGCCTCCTGCAGAGAGGATGAGGACTCACAGAAGCAGCACTCTTGGCTGGACCGGGCCATGACCTGAGGTGGTGGCTTGAGAGGCTCAGGCCTTCTCTAGCTTGGAGCAAGGGCTGAACCATGTCAACTGGGTTTAAAGATCCCTCCATCCAGTCCCTGCTGAAATGGACAAGTTGGTTGTGTCACGAGGCAGGAATGAGTCACTCTGCCCTATTGTGTCCCGCTGTAACTGATGCAAATGAAAGATGGAAATGAACATTCTCAGCCAACACCACCTCGGCCACACCTCTATCCTTAGGGGGTCAGGACACAGTGTCCTGGGGCTGCTGTGAGCAGCCTTCACAGAGCCTAAAGGCTGCTCCCCAGCACCCCCTCCAATGCCTGCTGGCCCAGGTTTCTTCCCTGCCCCCTGTGACTTTCCCATCTTCTGGCCTCAGTGTCTCTGGCTGTTCGTTGGAGACAATCAAGACCTTCTCCATGGATGGGCCAGATGTACCCAGGGCACTGGGCAGAGTTCTGGGTGTGCCAGCCTCCCTGGCCTCCTGAGGCCATCCAGAGCTGCCTCAAGCTCTTTTCAGCGGCAGAACTTGCCCAGGGCACTGGGCCCTGGGAGCTGAGGGAAAGAGGGGCCCAGCCCGGGGATCCTCAGCTGAGCTGCCCCGGGGGTTAACCCAGCACACCGTGGCTCACCGCCTGGCCCCTTGGCACGCTCATTTCCGTTTGATGAGTCAGTCATCAGCCGTTTCTTGTGACTTGTCAGCAGAACCCCAGTGGCTTTGGGGCGGAGATGAAGGGGGAAGAAGGTGGCACCCCTTCCTCCTCAGGGATGATGCCTTTTTTCAAAGGCTTGGCAAGCAAGGCCTGGCTTCCCCTGGCATCCCATTACCACCCCCTGTTGCCACTAGCTAAGAGGAGCTCCTATTGTGAAATTCTAGCTGCTGCCGGGAATGCGAATGCCCCCCTTACCCGCGGTGAGGTAGTGTTGAAACGTTCAACAATGGTGCCTGCCCCGACCTCCAAGTTCCTCTTCTGAGCAAGTAAGGATGAGTCCTTACTGGGGACCCTGAACAGGACAGTGAGGCCTGGAGTTGGGGGGGGACCCCAGAGGGCACAGAAGGAGACCTCTTCACATGTTGACATGATCCGATGATCAAGATAGGGGTCATCTTCCCTTATATGCAGGACTAGTCAGAGGGGCAGGGTCTGCCTGGGTACAACGTCCTGAGGCAGCCCCACATGGGGCAGGGAGGAGGAGAACAGCAGAACTGGAGGGCCCACATCTCATAGGCAGGGAAGCATGGGCCTCCTGGCTCTGGTGGGTACCCCACACTGCTTCCCAGGTGTTCTGGAATATTCCACGCCCATGCTTTGAAGCCTTAGTCCCACAGGTGGGAATAAGAGAAGCAGCAAGGTGTGTGGTCCTGCGCTGACCCCACGCACTTTGGTCCTAGTCACTCCTCCCTCTCTCCCGTCCTGTCCTGTCGTCCTCTGTGGCTTGACCTCCTTCTCTGCCACCTCTCCTCCTTGTGACTGCTTAAAGCAGAATCTCTCCTGCCTTAGTTTTCACTTCTTAGTTTTCACTTCCAATGCAGGAAGGATACACCAGAAACTAAGGAGATTGGAGTGAGAAAGGGGTGGAAAGGATAAGGGAATGAGATAAGGCAGATGATGAGGAGCAACAATCCGGGGTACCTTTATGCATGGCTTTGACTCTTAGAACCACAGAAAAATATTTTACATACCCCAAATTAAATAAATAAATCGACCAGGATATGGGGGGGAGGTGACAAAAATGGAAGAGAAACAATAACAAATTAACCTAACTGTGTTAGAAATGATTCACATGACCACAATGAAAGGGATGGCGAATGAAAGAACTAAACTGAGTAACTTTGGAAAACAGTATCTTGACTGGATACTGTAAGGCTGAAGACAAAAAAAAAAAAAAACATAAAATACTGTTTTCTAGTTATTAAACCTGTTTCTCATGGGGACATGGGATAAAAATCCTGAAACTTCTTTATCTGTATGCTGGGATTGAACAAATAAGTAAATATATCATAGATAATGAGAGCTGGTTTCTCACTGTTGGAGGAAGAAGTTACAGATAAGGAAAGGGAGAAGTCCAGAATGAACCCACCTTATGGCGTTGGATTGGAATTAGAGAAATCAGTATGAACTCATGGATTTTAATGTATATACAGATAGATACATATAGGAGTGAAAAAAAGGTGTGTATGTGCTTGGATTAATAAGCACACACGTATTTTCTAGCTCCATCTGCTGAGAGAGCCTAGAAACAACGATGTCCCAGGAGCAATGAGCACATGTGGCGCCCAGACCTTGGTTTATAAATACCATTCTCCAATCAAAGGGACCTGTTCTCCTTAGAGAAATGGCTGATTCTAGGACTGGCAGGAAATATACAAGATAAACCTGGAGCATCTTGTAGAGCCAGAAAGTAAGTCAACACTTGAAAATGGATGGGGAATGTCAAAAGGACATGGGAGGAGCTTCCTATGGCCAGAGCCAGGACAATCTGGACAACTAAATAATGAAAGTGTTGGATTATAATTCATGGGATGAAATAAATACCCACAAGTCTACATTAATGTTATAAATAATAAAATAAAAAATAAATAAATGGAGGAGAAGGGATAGGTCTTCTTTACAAAAGAATTCCAATTAATAAATGTGAGAGGAATGAGAAAAATACAAAATCACCGTTAGACAAACACCACAGTAATAACTGTTGCAGATCCACCGATGGATGCTAAAACCTGTGGGTGAAAATATGAGAGAAAACAGGATATCTGCATCGTCTCAGAATACTTCCCCCCAAAAATCGATCAATTACAAAGAAGACAATAATCACGTCACAGCGGAGAACCCAGCACTACCTTAACCTCATGACCAGAGTGAATATGGCCAACCATAAGACATAGCAACATCACGATCTCCTGATATGATGCTGAGAGGGATATGACATCACTTCTGTGGGATTCTCACGAAAAATGCATAACCACACAATCTAATCATGAGAAAGCATTATCCAAAACCCAATTGAGAGAAATTCTATACAATAACTGATCAGTAACTTCCCAAAGATTGGAGGAAATGAAGGAGACACAAAAACCAAATGGAATGTAGGACCCAGGGGTCCTGGCCTGGGTTCTGGAACTGAAAGGGGATATTGGGGGCGAAAATGGCTAAAATCCAAATAAGGTCTGTAGTTTAGTGAACAGTATTGTATCAATGATCATTTCCTGGTTTTGATAACTGTACCATGTCATGTTAAGTTGTTAACATTAGGGGAAGCTGGGTGAAGGGTGTACGTGGCTCTAAGACCCTTTATATAGTTACATAGCCTTACATACCCTTTCTGTATTTTTCTGGGTGGTTATCCAATGCCTTTCATGAACTTGTTTAAAGTTGCTATTTCATTTATAGCCACAGTTCTAAATTACTGGTGGGCGGACCAGTGCAGGGCTGGCTGCCACAAAATCCGCGAACCTGATGTTCCTAAACTGGGGTTGAGAATTTCTGGGGCTCTTGCAGGGTCTCTGAGGGCTCTCTGTGAGAATGCTCAAACCATATTTTCATTTTGATGGCAATCTAGAAAAAAAGGTAGTAGTTAAGGTATCCTGGAACATCTGGTTATCACCTACGATCAAACGTTACCATAAGATGTTGATGCCCAGTTTGCATTCGTGACTTATCACCAATTTGGTGTCACCTAAAAGAACAGGACATGCCAGGTGTGTTCTTGGGGTCTATGAGAGCTCCAGGTTGCGCACAATGAGTTAATATATGGAAAATGTTTAGGATAGTGTCTGGCATGTAAGAAGCATTCAATAAATGCTATCTACTAGCTATCAGAGTGCTTTCCTAACATACACATTTCTGCTGCCCAACTCCGGATAGCTTTGAGATTGGGCCAAGAAAGAAAACACTCCCTGGATGATTCTGATGCACAGTCAGGCTTGGAAAGTAACATTTTCTATTTTACCAATACACCCCCTCTGCCACACACACACACACACACACACACACACACAGAGTAGAATATAAGACTAGGAAACCACCTTAGAGACCATCTAGTGCAACTCTCCCATTTTACAGATAGGAAAATGGAGGCTCTAAGCAGTGAAGGGACTTGTTCAGATTAGAAAGTGGCAAATCTATAACCAGAATCTGAGCCTAGAAGCCCAGGACAGTCACAGCACCCTCTGGCTTGGATGGGAATCAGCCTCTGCTGCCGGGCAGTGAGTGACCTCAGCCCCTCTCCTCAAGGTTATTTTTGGAATCCTTTTTCAAATTTCTTTTGGAGTTTTTGGGCTGTTTAGGTATTCACCTTGTTTGCGTATCAACTTTGTGATTAGGTTTTCTGATCATATCATTCATTTTAATCAGATTTAAAAATTTGTTAGCAAGGATCTGGATCTAGAATTCCTCTATAATTTTAAAAATTATTTCTGAATCTGTGATTTTAGCCCCTCTCTTAATCTTAATGTTGTAACATTACGTTTTATTTTAATATACAGATCTGGATTTGTATTAAATATCTTTACAGTACATCACAATTCCTTAAATAATTATTTTTGACATTCACAGTAAATGTAATAACTATGATAACTGCAGTTTTCTTTGGACAGTGGCTTTAAGTTTGATTTATTTCATTGCTTGCTGTTTCATATCTTTGTTTTGTACCATCCCATCCCTATTTATGAGTTCTTTATTTTGATTCATTTCTTGCTCAGCTGGGGTATTTCGAGTAACTTCAAGATGAGTGTGTGGGTGAGGTACTTTCTAAGACTTTATATGTCATGTCATTCATTGAAGCTCACTAT